AGATTTAAGCGTAGATCAAGTTCTATGATCTCGCTTACAGCCCGGTTGTGCGGGTCGTCCCATGACTCCGTTTGAGTCAATCGGATACGATGCCTCGTTGGAGGTTCGTCCCGCAATGGCTGTGTCGTTCCTGACGGAATCTTTGGTGCTTCTGGTGGTGAAAGCACATGTCCCTTGCCAGGAAAATTCTTTGGCGGCGACTTCTTCTTCTTGGTCGGTAGGCCACGAAGCGTCAAAGTCGGTGGTTCCGCCTCCTTTGGCTTAAGTATAGACCGGCCTGGCCTGGTAGGGCCAGGAACATCTAAGTCCGTTGGCGGGCCACTCCACGCTGGTAGAGTGGGCCTTGTTGGGCGGTTCAGCTCCAGGTTTTCTCTTGGCCCTCGCCAAGGTGGGAGTGACCGTTGCGAAGGAGGCTCCTCTGCTTCTGGGGGAGTCCTCTTCTTCTTCTCAAATCTAGGCGACCGTGGACCGCTTGTTGTGGCAGGAGCGGCTGGTTCTGGACGTCCTCCTGTCGACTTTCTGTTCGTTGGTCGGACAATGAGGGTGCCACTTGATGTGTCGCCTTCGATTGGTTTCGGTGGGGGCTGTGATGCTACCGTTGGCGCATCAACAGCCATTGGACTTGTAGGTTCACCAGCCAGTTGGACTGGTGTTGGCTCCGATTCAGCCGACTTCTCTGACGAGAGTTCCAGAGTTTTGTCTTGCAGGGCCACGTCCATTTCGACGTCCTGCTGTTGGACTTCTGTGCCGCTGCCCGCTATGGCGGTTCCAGTGGTGTCCATGGGTTGGTCAGGTGTTGGACCAGGCACCGTTAGGGCCTGGGCCAATTCAGCTGGAGTTGGTTGTCCAACTGATGTTGAGGCGGCCGGTTCATATGTCCGGGCCAAGAGTGCTGGCTCGGACACTAGTGATGGTCGCCATTCGTTCACCGGATCGAAGTCACTGGAGCGCGCCGTCGTTGACGAGCCAGGTGGATAGACCTGCCAGTATTCTTCGATGCGGTCTCTGATCCATCTTGTTAAGATGTCAAAGACTCTTAGTGCGATGCCGGTTGGTATCGTACTGTTCGGAGTAATTTCCCTTAACAAAGTTATCCGGTAGGACAACGTTTGTTGTTGATCCGCCAATCTGGCCGCTTCCGGGTCAGATGGTTCAAGGTTTCGGATTTGATTAGTTATGCGACGTTCGACGTCCTCGGCGTCTCTGATGAGGTCTCTGTGCCTCAATGCCTGAAGGACCGTCATCGGTGTTGGCCTGGTGCCAATCTCGCGGGACTGGTCCTCCTGCCAATTTGGACGTAAGATTCGAGGGGCCGGTTGGTTGACATTATCCGGTTGATTCAATACCGGAAAGTCGTCCGTATAGGCCGGTCTGGCTGATGTGATGCTTCCCCTCATAATCTGTCCCAGGCGTTCCACTATATCTGGTGGCGGTGCCAGTGAAGTTGGCCTCGGGTGGATCTGTCGTTCTGGCGCGACCAGATGATCAGGCGGAGCTGTTAGGCCTGGTACAGGGGTTGGATCTGGTAAGTCGAGCCACTCGATGTCGCTATCGGTTTCTGTGTCCGACGCGCTCGCTGGTCGACTAAGTGCTGGTCCGGCTGCAAATCGTTCAGCCGAGATCCGCATAATTCTCAAAAACCGCATCTTCAATTCTTCCGCCGGTTGGCGTGTTGAAGACTGTGTCGGTGTGAGAAGTCCGGTTTGTCCTACGCGTGTTGGCTGCCCCGGTCGAGGCTTAGGCAACACGCGCCGAAGTGCTTCATCGATCAGGCCAAGCTGATATTGGTTACGGAATTCGCGCAATGCCGGTGGGTCATTGGCCGTGTTTAATGGCTTGTCCATGAACCGTAGCATGGCTCGTCGAATCCTGGTTATGTATTCCAAGACGCGTTGGAATTCCAGGTCCAACGCGACTTTTCTCCGTAAGGTAGCGACGTCCACGCCTCTTAGGTTGCTAATGGCCTGAGGGACCAGCTGGAACAGTATCGGACGGAAAGACAGCTAAGGATCGAAGGATCCGCAGCACCAACACGTCCGCCACCAGCACCATCAGCACCACCTCCTCCATTGAACCCAACAGTCGTAGTTACCGCTACGACAGGGGAATCTTCCGCGCCACCAGTGGCCCAGCCTACGTCTACCGACGAGGCAATGTTGACGGCCACTGGATTGGAACCGCGAGAACCAGCATCTTCTCCGTATGACCTAAGGGCTTACCCAGACATACCTCCCTTGGAGCGTGAACTCCACGCCGCGGAACGCCTCGAAGAGGAAATCCGTAAGGTTATCAGTAGCCTGAAGGGAGTGGATATTGCCACTTTACGGAGAAAAGTCGCGTTAGATCTGGAATTCCAACGCGTCCTGGAATACATAACCAGGATTAGACGGGCCATGCTTCGGTTTATGGATAAGCCGTTGGATACGGCCAACGACGCACCATCATTGCGCGATTTCCGTAACCGGCAATACCAGCTTGGCCTGATCGACGAAGCACTTAGGCGCGTGTTACCCAAACCCCGACCGGGGCAGCCAACACGCGTCGGACAAACCGGACTTCTCATACCGACACGGTCCTCAACACGCCAACCGGCAGAAGAATTGAGGATGCGAGTCTCGAGAATTATGCGGATCTCGGCTGAACGATTTGCAGCCGGACCAGCACTAAGTCGACCAGCCAGCGCGTCGGACACAGAAACCGACAGCGACATTGAGTGGTTCGACATGCCAGACCCAATCCCAGTACCAGGCTTAACAGCTCCGCCTGATCACCTGGTCGCGCCAGAACGACAAGTCCACCCGAGGCCAACTTCATTGGCGCCGCCACCAGCCATAGCGGAACGCCTGGAATCGATCATGCGGGGCAACGTTACGCGAGGCAGAACGGCCTACGCGGACGACTTCCCGCTACTAAACCAGCCGGATGACGACAATCGACCGGCCCCTCGGACTTTACGTCAGCAATGGGATGATGAACAAGCAGCAGCGAACCAACGGTTACGCGAAGCTGACACTGGGCCCATGCAAATGACGGTTGTCCAAGCACTGAGCATTCGGCACCTTATCAGCGATGCTGGAGATGTCGAACGCCGCATAACCAACCGGATCCAAGAACTCAGCCCGTTTGACCCAGAAGCGGTCAGGCTGAAGGAAAAGCAACAGAGCTTGGCCCAACGGGTGGCTCTGCTTAAAGGTCTTACTTCTAACCATACGATGCCTACCGGTCCATCGTTAACGGTTATGGACCACACCACAAAATGGATCCGAGAATTTATCGAAGATTACTGGAAAGTCCCACGTCCGCCAACGGCGGCACGCTCGAGTGACTTCGATCCAGTAAACGAATGGCGACCATCACCGGTGTCTGCGCCAACACCTTTGGCCCTGACATATGTACCGGCCGCCTCAACATCAGTTGGACAACCAATTCCAGCCGAATTGGTTCAGGCCCTAACGGTGCCTGGTCCAACATCCGACCAACTTATGGACACCGCTAAAACCGCTATAGCGGGCAACAGTACAGAAGTCCAACAGCAGGACGTCGAAATGGACGTAGCCCTGCAAGACAAAACTCTGGAACTCTCGCCAGAGAAGTCGGCCGAAACGGAACCAACACCAGTCCAACCGGCTGGTGAACCGACAAGCCCAATGGCTGTTGATGCACCAACGGTGTCATCACAGCCTACACCGAAGCCAATTGAAGGCGACACATCAAGTGGCACCCTCGTTGTCCGGCCAACGCCTAGGAAATCGACAGGAGGACGGCCAGAACCGGCCACTCCCGCCACAACAAGTGGCCCACAGTCGCCTAGATTTAAGAAGAAGAAGAGGACTCCCCCGGAAGCGGAAGAGCCTCCTTCACAACGGTCACTCCCACCTTGGCGAGGGCCAAGAGAAAACTTGGAGTCGAACCGCCCAACAAGGCCCACTCTACCAGAGCGGAGTGGCCCGCCAACGGACACAGATGTTCCTGGCCCTACCAGGCCAGGCCGGTCCATACTTAAACCAAAGAAGGCGGAACCACCGACTTTAGTACTTCGCGGTCTACCGACCAAGAAGAAGTCGCCGCCAAAGACTTTTCCTGGCAAGGGACACGTGCTCTCCCCACCGGAAGCACCAAAGATTCCGTCAGGAACGACACAGCCATTGCGGGATGAACCTCCAACGAGGCATTGTATCCGATTAACCCAAACGGAACCATGGGATGACCCGCATAACCGGCTTGTAAGCGAGATCATAGAACTTGATCTACGCTTAAATCTGACTGAGGAAGATATGCGCCAGCGACTACGCGCCGGCGATCCTACACTAACGGACCGAGAGATTGACCGCATCAACCGCGGCTGTCAACAGATGGTCCAAGGACGTACAATCCTCATCAGAAAACTGATGGCTATGCGAAGCAAGAGCCAAGCACTTCGCCAACGCAAGTTGCCTAGCGAAATCATCGAACATGCCATCTACATCCGTGGCCCTCACATTAACCCAAGGGCATGGACAGTTGAACCCCGCCCACGACCAGGCCAGCCAGTGGAAGATGAACTTCCACCAGAAGAAGCAGAAAGTGAGGACGAACAGCCTCAACTGCCAGCGGCCTTCTGGGGCGTCTCCTCCAGCGAGGAGTCGGAGATCGAGGAAGACTTGGACGAAAACGTCCAAAGGGCGCTATATGAGACCAGCCAGGTCCGGCCACCTTCAACGAAGGAATCGCCGCGCCAAAGCCGATCTCCATCAAAACGGACTTCTCCTGGACGCGCCACATCAACTCCGGCGCGAATGCCCAGCATGCCGGCCATCGAACCGGCGCCTGCCAGGTTCACACCGAGCCGGCCAGGCAGGTCTCCAGCCAAAGAGAGGACGGATACAATACCTCCTCCAGAGCCAACTATGACCATCACTGTGGAAAGAGTCGCAGCACCTACGGTGTCTGCAGATTCAACACTTGAACCAGTAACGGTCACGGTTAGGACTCCTGCACCAATGGTCGCACAATCGGCCAGAATGATGGTGCGGATAACTCCGGCTGTCTCGGCCCAAGAAATGGAAGCCGACGCGGCCTTGATGCCCATGAGTGCTCTCACTCCTATCGAGCAGAGACACTTACTGATCCATGCTGACCATAACGAGCGCCGGCAATATCCGATCCTGCTCACAAAGAGACAGGAGGCCAAGGAGCAGAATCGTATGGAAGAATACGACATGATAACCGAAATGCTCCGATCCTTGGTCCTACGGATGATAGATGATTACCGGCGCCGTCGCAACCAGAAAGCCTTCCCCCCACCGGAGGAAGACTTTAGAATGGCTGAAACCCTGTCGTCAAATGCGCCACCAACTGTGGTACCGCCAAAGACGCAGGCACAACCACCAGCGGCTTCAGAGCCAATGGACACTTCTCCGTCTGGACCTGTGGCCACAGCACCACAGCCAGAACCAGCCCAACCGGAGGAGCAACCGAAGGCCACTTCGTCGGCACAAGAATCGGCAGGCCAAAGTCAGTCCGGAACAGGGCCAACGGCCGCTGCTCCGATAAACTTGACGAACATGCCAGCCAGCATCGACGATATACCTTTTGGCCGTCCAGTTACATTCCCTGCAACAGGGACAATGGAGAATTTTGCACTCGGCCTGGGCGTAATACACTCAGCTAACTCCCAACGGAGCAAGCAGCCGAGAAAAGCCAAAAACCCAGAGAGGGCCAAACCGGCCTCTCGTCCAACTTCCCCACAACCGAGGGCCAAACCGGCCACTCGCCCAAATTCCCCTCAACCGAGTGGAAGTCAGGCGACCGTATCACGGCCAACATCTAACCCAGAGGCCGAACGGAACCGCCAAAAGAAACAAGCGGCCAAGGACAAGAAGAGTCAAGAGGCCAAGATCGCTCAGCTAGAAAAGCGGCTGTCAGGCGACGAAGATGTCCAAGTCCTATCGGACAGTATGGACAAGCCACAAGAGCCACCACAATATCGTCCATGGCAAGAAGAGGAATTTGAGCCAGTTCCCGACGGTGAACCGCCTTCGGAGGAAACAATGCTCCCCGCGCCGGCGGACGATGAAGCTGACCTTCCCGACCCTGGACCAGAGGCCACGCACATTGAGATCCCAACGGGTCCATATGTGCGCCAATGGGTGGCAGCGGCCAGGATCATGAGACGTACAACAGGAAGAGACATGTATCAATGTCTCGTCCGAGTTCTCCGAGCCAGAATGGCACATGGAGAAGAATTCAGAGGGCTACCACCAGCGGACCGTGTACTAACGGCACCCTTCATGCGGCGTGTAGTAACTCTTATCCTGACATGGGACTCCTGGTCCGCACACACCGTGACTGGACCAGCATGATGGAGCTTCATGTGCCTCATCGGCCAGCAGGGCTTTCCCGTAGCCGGGATTACCCCTTTCACCAAATATGCAGGACCATTGCTTACCTGCACAATCCAAGAGGCTCCAACTTAGTTGACATTGTCAGGACCATTAACGCCCTCTACTACAAAGGAGAGGCGGACCAGAACGAACTGGAAAAGGTCATACTTGACGAGTTATTAGCATTGGTCAAGGATGGAACTTTGGAAACAACTAACGCCTACCGGGCGGAGCCGATCCGCTTCACTATTCCTGGGTTCATCCCGCAGAAGACCCAACGGTCTCTGTATGTGTCACACGATGTGGGCACAAAATGGGATCCAGACAGAAAGAAAGCGGCTGGACCGCCGAAAGACAAGTTGACCGGCAGAGCCAAGGAGGCATACTTGATCTCCCAAGTGGCCAAACTGCCTGGTCCAAAGAAGTTGCCGGTAGAGAAGCCTCCTCGACCATCCGTCACAAGACGAGAGCTGGCTGCACGCCAAGAAGCGGAAGACGAGATGCACGCAGCCGGAATTCGGCCTGTGCCCAGAGACACTGTGTCACTGCCTAACGCAGCTGGCCGGTCCAGACCTCCTTCGCCAGCCTTATCGGCCACATCCACAAAGAGCCGAAAGGCCACGGCCACAAAGAAAAGAGGGAAAAAAGATCCCTCACCGCAGCCAAGTGATTCGGACTCTGAGGACTCACAACCGGAGGACTCAGAGGAGGACGAACAAGAAGAGCCGGACCAGGACCAAACCATGGAGTCCCAAAAGTCCGACTCAGACGATGATGATGACCAAAGCCCTGGTAAACTTACCATGGACCTCCCACCGGACCATGACATGGAAATACCACCCGGTGACGAGAACCAGCCACCTAGCGGTGACCAGGACATGGAAGACCAGGGTGGCGCAGAAGGTGCCAACCAGGAACACGGCAGCGCAGAAGGCGCTAGCCAAGAAAGTCCGGCCAGCGTAGACAACGCTGAGCCAAGTGGAAGCGCTGCATCGCCCGAACGGGAAAGGATGCGCGACTCGACCTCACCAGAATCAGATGATGGCGAGATTCCATGGACTTTACCTGACCCGTGCCCGGCCATACCGCGGATTGATTACGTCTCGCCACCAACACCAAAGGTGGCCAGGAAATGGCCTGGCGGAGACCCTTCTAAAAAACCAAGGATCTCCAATTCTGACAAGCGATGGGCATACATTAAGGCGGCCCTAAAGGCGTTGTCCCAAACGGGTACAACCCTTGCTACAGGGGGCTTGGCCTACCAACTCATCAAGAAATGGAATGGCCCACCGCTGTACAAGTCCAAAGTGATGAAGTACATATATATGGCTTCTACACTTTCCCACCGGAAAAAGTGGATAAAGCTCCTCAAGGCTATTGGGAATGGCGTAACGCCGTCCTTACAGTGCTGACCACCACTCAGCACCCATTAGGCCTCACACGAGGCGAAATAGCCAACCAGCTCCTGGGCCGATACGATCTGAACGTCATCTCGCACCATCCACAACTTATCGATGGGATAGCATATATGCCGAACCAGGGCCGCCCTAGCGGGTTGTACCCTATTTGCGAGGACGTTAGATACGTTGTACGGAAGATGTTAAATGAAGGATGGCTCGAGCAAACTGTTGACGAGCCTGAGGCCCAGCAGCGGTACAGACAACATAACATCCCACCGGATCGTTACGGCCCTCGTCCCACCGAACCCGACTCCTTGGCCTCAACCAAGTCCAAGAAGAAGCGGCGTACCTACCATCAGTGACCTAGGCGTAGAATTCGCATAGGGTCTAGGGAGTGATCCCGATATAATTCACCGGGCAAGAAAAGCCTAGTTAACAAATCACATGTAAAATCATAGGGACGTAAAACATAGGGCGTAATTATCATAGGGACCCGTCATAGAAAGCGGACTTAACCTCATTCTGCAAGTTTCATTTCTGTTACCACAGAGAATGGGACTTACACCGCAGCAGAAGTACGAACCGCGATGCTCGGACTGCAGACGCAACAGCGGCGATAGCATGACACATCCACACCGCCGGGACAATTCCTCACGGGAGTTGTTCCCCTGCGCATACCATCTGCGTCCAGGCTTCCGCGACGAGAGCGAACGAGCCTACTGCTTCTACCTGGAAGTGGTGAGAGGCAACTTCGACGCTTATATTCACATGACCAGCCGCGACGGAAGCCACCTGATTCCCCTATTGAGGGATCATGAACAGATAGAGATCTACGATCTCTACATGCAACGTAGTGGCGCCCGACAACCTGGCTGGTGCAGTACCGGAACTCCCATTCCCCACTCAGCCAATCGGCTCGAGAACGGAAGGACGAGAGGGACCGGGAACGTCGATCCCGTAACTCAGGATCCGACCAGTCCTCAGGGCGTGGCCCAACGGCCGACCCGAGAAATTACGACCATCAGCGGCCATCATCAGGCTCTCGATCCTATGGACACGAGTTGCCCATGCCCATGGAATACAACCAGGGGTTCGAGAAAACGATCCTGGAAAATATCAACAAGGCTATGGTTGACCAGGTGGCCTGGCAGCTGATGGAAGGTGGATTGCTGGATGCCTTAAAAGGCCAATACCAGCCAGCGCGCACTGAACAGCGCACACCATTGGCACCGCTACCGCGGAACCCAGATGACTTACGTCATCAGATCCAGAGCCGCAACCAGGACCAAAGTGGACGTCAAAGTCGTAGCCAGACCGAGCGCCAACAGCGCACATCACCCGGGAAGCGTAACGAGACCGAGTCCAGCCTGGTTGTCGCACATTCCACCAAGCGACCAGAACGAAGCGTCAGCTCGGTGGCCCACAACATCAGCATTCAGATACCGATGGAAACGGAGCCCGCACCGCCGTCGTCGGACCCACCGGCCCGACAAAGCACAAGCGTTAGCGCGACGGACTTCAATCCATATAAGTATGCTGAGGACCAAGGCATTAACATCCGACCACTTCCCCACCGGGAGGTGACGGATTACATTATGAGGGCCATTCCATACCCTAGGGATCGATGGGCCCAAGTTGACGCCATGGTCCAGAATTTACAAACCTTCGTCACCCGGTCCGGACTTGAAATGGAGATGCAGCGGAAAGATTGGCCTCGTGATTTCAGCATGGCCGAGCACATACAAAACCGCGAGGGCTACCCAATGGTCCGTGACAATGCTCTATCGAGCATCACGGACGTGAATTTACTTGGACAGCCCATTACCAGACCGGACTGGAACGACTTGTGCCAACTGCACATCAAAGACGACCAACTGGATGTTGTCAGATATCTGGCCCAGTTTGTCCTACCGGACGCGAACGCCAGTTTCATCATTGCAGCTTGCAGAGCGGCCATAGAAATCCCATGCAAGCCAGCGGATCACAAGGATGACCCAGAAACGCAAAAATACTCCTATAACGGCACGATGATACGCATCTTTGCCTCCAGACTTGGTCATCTACACTGCCATTGGGAACTGGAAGTTGCCTACCGGCAAGGGAAAATCGTCCCTCGGCTGTTGACCCAAGTGGCTCTCCTGGGAAACCAGATCCACGAGATTGAAGCGGGAGTCAAAATTCAAAGCGCCCTGAACATTTACAGGAACCGCTCTAAAGATTACCGCTATAAACAGCCATCGGACTTCGATGACGGTGCGGAAGCGTTCGTTAACCGAACGGCGACCAGGAAACTTCCAACGAAGTTCCGTACCCAACGATCCTCAACAGGATCGTCCGCACACGTCCAAACCCAGGCCACACAACCTGGCCAAGAAGCTCAGCCGACCAGCACCTCCAGCCAACAACAAGCAAACCAGACCGAACAGGATTTGGCGGACATGGAGGAAAGCGTCATCGACCCACTCAACCCCGGGTTGGGCGATGGCGACCAAGCGGGACAAGGAGGGCAGGGATAGGCCAACGGCCATTCCTGCATGTTGGCCCTAAACAGGGACCAACATCAGCTGGACCGGACTTGAACACCATGATGGGTGCAATCTAACGGTTGTTACCCTCGCCCAACAAACGTGGCTTACGGCCATGTACCGTCTACCTCACCGGACCTAAATCCCTGGATCTTAACCGGATTCCCCGGATAGGCTCTGGCTTAGCGGCTGGGACCATGAATTTGGCTCGGCCATCCCAGACCATCCGACGGAGTCCACCGGACCGAACTTGGCACAACGCATAAGTTCACCGGCATGGAAAGGATCCAGCGCCCAGAAGGTGGCGACGGCCCGCAAATAAGTTGCGACAGGCCGTGGATCAGCCTGGCCCGCATACAAGTTGCGACAAGCCAAGGCCAAGTCCTGGCCCATAGAAATTGGACCAGGCCCACTATGCGTCTAACCGACCATAGTTGGCTCACGAGTCTAGTCGCCACACCAGGCGACTGGGACAAGTGAGTTCGGGAGCCACATAGAAGTTGTGGTATACCCATTTTGCATGCCATGTCCAACATCCTCACCACGGACCGCCCAGAGGCCCATCTAAAAGATGCACCGCCCCGAGGCCAAACGAGGATGCTTCTAGTCAGCAGACCGACTCCTTTGTGGAAAACGCCTACCGGCGCCCACAACTTAAATTTTTTTGGAGTTTGGCCCGGCCAACCTGATGTTTTCGTCAGACGCCACCTAATTTTGTTATGGCCACGGTCTCAGGGAAACCTACCTGACTCATCGGACATGGTAGCCAACTCATGGTCTACGACCAGTGAGACGGACCAACTTTGGCCCGCCATACACCTTGGACCGTCGAAAAAACGACTAAGTCCTTTTGGCCCGCCATACACCTTGGACCGTCGAAAAAACGACTAAGTCCATTTGGCCCGCCATAAACCGCGGACAGTCGAAAAATCGACTAAGTCTTTTGGCCCGTCCAACGACGTGGCCCACCGAAAATTTTCTAAGTCTTTTGGCCTGTCCAACGACGTGGCCACTGGAAAATCGACTAAGTCTTTTGGCCCGTCCAATGACGTGGCTCATCAAAAAACGACTAAGTCCGAATCGGAGAGCCAAAACCGGTTACACAGGACCCACACCCCTCCAAAGGCCGGAAGCAAGGCCATACCATTCCGGAACCCTGTATCCCGGTCCAGAGCATGTCAGAGACCGAGTTTGGACCGCCCCAACGGGTTTGGTCCATTATACCACTTGGTCCTCGGACTTAGAAATTTTTCCACTATGGCCCTCCTGGACTTAGAACATTTTTGGACCTAGGCGCATGACCAAACTGGCATGCAAGGCCAAAACCGGTCCAAGTTAGAGACCCTTATGGGCCATCCAAACGGAATTGGTCCAAGCATACTATTTCGGTCAAAGGAGCACCTCTCCTGTCCAGAGACATCACTCTGGCCCTGCATGGACCGCCCAACCGGGCTTGGTACACCATAATCAGGAAGGGGACAACTTGTCCTTGCGCATGCAACCGTGCCTTCCTCATACAACTCCGCTGGATTTACTTTACTGGACCCCTGTGGACATCTCTGGGAACCGTCGCCCCGGATTCACAGGACCAGACATATCCTACCGGATAAAGCGGACCGTTGACTAGGACCCCTGTGGACAAAAGCGGCCCTGTGGTATACCTAGTCGGAATAAGCCTTTTGTTTCGTCTAGTTTTTTTAACCAAATCTGGTTTTTCTAGACTTTAATAACCAAAGATGATGTTTTTATTTAGCCATTTAACCAAAGGAATTGGCTTTGGGATCTCTAACTATGATCTTACTTTCTTTAATTCTTACCGGAATTGTGATCTTTTTATTTCGATGTTTAACCTACGAGCCTTATAAACTTTATTTTTTTACTTGTTCGACCAACCAAGCCTTCAAAACCCACTGGAACCCCCTGCAACCAGAGTGCACTCCAGATTTCGGCCGTTCGGTGCACTGCACCGCGGGTCTGGAGGAAGCGAGACAAAGTGGCATCCGGCCCTACCGGGTATCGGACCCTGGCACCCTACCGGGTTGGCCAGGGGCAGAGTCGGAAGGTGCTCGCAGGAGCTCCCACTCCCGCCCAGAGGCATGTCAGAGACCGCTCACTCGAGGCGGTAGACACCTCTCGTGGCTTTGCTCTGTCGCCCGCCCGCACATGGCTACTCCATTCGTGCCGCGCTATTACGCTGCTTACTCAGCGTATACTTTGTCTACGCTGACCAATCAGCGCATTTCCCTGCACTCTTGGGGGTGGAGACCTGCGCCTACGGGCGATTCCATGCTTTGCCGCATCAGCTGTTGCATACCCGCAGCACGCGGAATCATTATCACGATTCCTCACCAGCGCACTGCAGGCACTTTTTCCAGCTTTTCCCACATTGGGTTTTCTGTTGGTTTTTGTGTTGTTGTTGTTGCTTTATTGTGCCAATAAAGGCGATATTTGCCCCATTTTCCATCCGCTTCTGTGTCATATCTGACA